AACTACGGTTTTGCTAAGTGTGTTGCTATCTCTACCGCAAAAGAGTTATGCAACCAAGGTTCCAAACCTATCAACTAGCCTGTCACTAAGCTAGAAAAGTAAAGCACAAACCAAGATTGTAGTGTAAATACGGAAGCTAAAGAGTAATGTAGAGATATGCAAACTCCCATCGACGACTCTAGTATTTTTACCAAGGTATCGAGAAGCGCGCAAGCTTCCCCTAGTCCTCGTTGGAGCCCCTTGCATGGAATCCCTCGCAAGGGCCAACCTCCTGGTCGAGTAACTACGTGGATAGCCCGGGCCTTCCCCACGTGCAAGTGGGTCTCTGGTGTGCCTTCCGGCAAGCCTCTCCTAGACCGCTCCCCACCGTCTTCACTATCAAGCTTCCAACTGAATCGCCGTGGGCCTTGTTCCCTTCGGTACACGGTGGCGGCCACACCACAAACGTAGTTGGTGTGATCTCGCAAGACTACAAGCCCCTCCAATATACAACAATGGTACGCGCAAGCACCGAGTGGTAAGAGGTATGCAAACCTCACTAAACACTAGGCCTAAACCTAGAGCAAGCGCATAAGCGCACTTCGTAAAGCACCTAATGAATCACTAAGCACCATGTAAGTGGAGGTCATTAAAATGGTGTATCAACACCCTTGGTATGTTTTCTCAGTTCTCCACTACACAAATGGCCGGTTGAGGGGTCTATTTATAAGCCCCATAGAGAAAGTAGCTGTTGAGGTCAAAACCTAGCTTTCTTCTACTGACCAAACGCTGCTGTCAACCTGACTGGACGTGTCCGGTCATCCCGATCATTGAAGCGCATGCGTTGATCGGACTCTAGGCCGAGTTCAGTCACACTCGATCGGACGCGTCCGGTCACACTGGCGCCGCTTTGGAACCTCTCTGGACTTGATCAGACGCTGCACTTTGTGCGTCTGGTCATCTAGTGCCGCTGCGTTCGATCACGCTGAAAACATTGCCGTGATGATGAACAGTGAAGTTCGTGTGTCCGATAACAGCCACTGACACCTGCTGTTGTCAAGCAACTGATCTGACATGTCTGGTCCTCCTAGGGCCGCATCCGGTCACTTCTGCCGAGCTCGTTTCTTCGTGATTTTGCATACGGCTTGGTTCTCATCTTCGTGCTTGGACTTTGCTTGATATCTTGGGTCTTTTGTTGTGTTTCTAGGGTCTTACTTATGGTGTTGATCGTGGGATCATCGTGTCGCCTTCGTCCAAGTCACGTCTTGCACCCTATTGAATTACAAAACAATTACTTGCAAATTCGTTAGTTCAATTTGTTTGTGTTGGTCATTAAACACTAAAATCCAAAGTAAATGGGCCTAGGGTCCATTTTCCTTACAGTGCCATCGAGAATGGGGGCTCTACATCTGTTTGTCGAGTGAACCTAATGGCCCTAACTTGTTAGATGAACCTTTGATAGGCTTCATAGTGAACCCTGCCGACCTTCCTTGGAAGTGGGTCAAGAGATTAGCTACCTTGGACGAAAGGCTAAATCACAAGTCACAGTGAAAGTGTACAACCTCTGTAGAGTGTAAAACTGGTATATCAGTCGTGCTCACGGTCACGAGCGGCCTTGGAACCCTTACGGAATAGATGATGAACACGGATGATACTGATGATGAAAATGCTCACTAATGATTACTGTTTATGCTATTCATTATTCATGTTTACCTGATCATGTGTTTATATGGGCTTGTGATAAACTTGTTGCTACTCCTATTCTCAAATTGTGACAATTAAAAGCTAATCGCAGTTAAACCAGTGTCAGCCTTTTGAGCCTCATGAACCCCATGTTATATTTGTTGAGTACGATATGTACTTACGCTTGCTTTACTTTTTAAATCTTTGGAAAAATCCCAGATGGGTACCAGATTGTTAGAATTTGGAGGAATTCGGCTTGTGTTCAACCAATCAGTTGTCCCTTTGGAAGTGGAGTCTTCACCTGAAGATCGGAGTTGTCTTTCCGCTGTTTATACTCTAAGGTTGTATTCTTTATACTAATACGCTATGTAATAAGCATGGTGTTATGATATTACCTTTATTTGTAGCTATATGTGAGATTTGACTTCCTGGGCTCACATATGGTGTGTATCTGGTTTTATTCTTAAAACCGAGTGCTACATTGACACTCTCCACGCCTAGCTTTTACTACAGTCTCTCTTCACCTACCTCCAATGGGGATGAGCCCAAGAGCCCCGTACATTGCCTTATTCGGAGGACCGCACAATCTCCTTGCGAGCTTCCGTGAAGTCACAATCTCCAAGCCATATAGGACATGGAAACCTCAAAGAGTAACCAGCATTACCTGCTTGCAACACAATCACCTAGTGCCACTCAATGCAATCGCCCAATCCACCGAATTAGAATCACTCAACAACTCTACAGAGATAATGCTCACAAGCAAATGAATGAGAGGGAGGAAGAAATGAGGCTCTCGTGATGTGTATCACTTTCCCAAAGTGCCAAGAGACCTCCGATATCCGGTCACCCCTCTATTTATGGAGGGGGAAAGCCAACTAGCTGTTTAGGTATTTTCCATGGGCTCGTGTTCGACTCGTGGTCAGACCATGGCACCCTGGCGGTCAGACCACCATGGCCCAACGGCTATTGACAGCACGCCAATGGCTATGTCTTCATTGGTCAAAACTCCAAGCCTAAAGTCCAGTCTTTCTCTAGTGCTACCACGAGAAGATTCTGGTGCCTTCCCCAACCTTCTAATGAAGGTTCTAGCAACCTCCAAAACTTCCAATGCTCTCCTTTGAGCACAACCGGAGAAAGCGCCAACGAGTTCAAACAAAAATAGCTCTTCCCATGCACTTTCCATGCGCTGGCGGTCAAACCGACCACGGCCATGGTCTGACCGCGCGGTACTACCCAACACGCCCAAGGCCCACAATAGAGCCCCTCTCTCCGGTACCTTGCCACATCAGACCTCCAAAAAAAGTGCTCGAAGATTTGAAAACTTCTACGTGCAGTACCTGGCCACGGTCAAACCGACTAGATCCACGGTCTGACCGCCAGCACCACCAGAACAACCCCATGGAAATCGATACTCTAGAATACTACAAGGTGAAAGCTACTATGATAGCCGTGCACTTGCGATTTCATCTATGTGCCACCATTAGTGTCAATAGTAGCGGTACTAAACTCAAGAGGATATTAATATTTATGTCTTATAATGACAGTTTGCTCTAAAAGTTTTTCAAAGGCCAACAAGATATAGTCATCTTTGGTCTACACTAACCTCCCCCAGTTCTCAATACGATGTTTGTATTTTCCAATCAAAGAGTTATATGTGCAATAATGATTATACTATCAATATATGCATGTCAAATATTTTTGTTAAAATCTATAAATATATCAAAACTGAAAGCTTATATAAATTATATGTCATTTTTATTAATATAATTTTAAATAATTTGTTAGTATCATTAGTCTATGAGTCGACTGGGAAATATTTTTCATGGTTACAGAAACATAACATATAATATTTATTTCTCATGCTTGTATGTCTTCATAATCTATATGATGACACAACATGTATGTTACTTTAATCAAATTTTATTACATTAATATTAATAGAAGTAGGTAATTTTGAAACATATGTACATATTTTATGGTTCTTTAACCATTTTGTAATAGAATATGCTAATGATTTAGTAAATTAAATTTGAGGGTTTTAGTTTATTTAATAATGTTAGAAGTACTCCCTCTGTTTCAAATTATAAGAAGTTTTGACTTTTGTAGATACATTATTTTTGCTATGTATTTAGACGTAGTATATATCTAAGTGCATAGCAAAAACTACGTATCTAAGAAAGCCAAAATGGGGGGAGTAGTATTTTAGATACAAATTTAAGGGGTTACTTGTATTATCTATCATCATAGCAGGTGGGATAATTAGAAGCAAATTTAAGTTTACGTTAGATCATGTTTCTTAATAGTATGGTGGATAATTTGATATATATTCACGGGTTGCTTTATGCTGTTTACACAATCGCATTAGTTATATTAGCTCTTACTGCATCCTTTTTCATGACATCATGAGTCTATAACGTAGCTTTCAACTTTTAATCTAGTTTTTGTAATTAATTTTTCTCTCCACATGTTTAGTCAAAAGCACTAAAGATGTTGAAACATTATTATAACATGTTTAGTCAAATAAATAAATATATGTGTAGAAATATTGTTTTATATAAAAACAGTGTTCAAAATTAAATCATCAATATTGATCTGACAATAGTTGTTATAATAATGTTTCAACACGGGCCTCGGTCTATTTTTAGAGGAGAACTTATTAAGATGCCTATCTCTGTGAATCAATTTTAGAGACCGGCCAGTCGTTTTTGCACTACCTCCATAAATAAATATACGGACAGCCTCTAAAGTTCTCTAGATATTTCTGGAGACACGGATGAGTTCTAACCGTGTCTGTTCTCCAACCAACCAGCCAGGTTTTTTAACAAAGGTGGGTACCACTAGAGTTTTCAAAAAGTCTAAACACTGGGACGTCACTACATTAAATTAACTGAAAGAAGTAGAAATCCTAAGCACACTAGTGGTTCTATCATCTATATATATGTACTATATCAGGCAGACAGGCAAGCAAAGCAAGCCAAGTGCTCATCGTTGATCGACAATGCTAAGCACAAGTACCCTACTCCTCTTCTTGTTCCTCATCTCTGTGACTATCCTTGTATCATCTCTTAGCCACAAAACTGGAGCGAAATCGAAGAAGAAGCGCCCCCCTGGCCCATGGGCCCTCCCCTTCATCGGAAGCATCCACCACCTGCTCACCTCACAGCCGCAGGCCACTCTCCGCGACCTCGCCGAGAAATATGGCCCGGTGATGTACCTCCGGCTGGGGCAGACGGACACAGTGGTGGTCTCCTCGCCGGAGGTCGCGCAGGTGGTGCTCCGGGACCAGGACATCAACTTCGCGTCGCGCCCGCACCTGCTCTCCGTGGAGATAATCGGCTATGGAGGCCACGACTTTGCCTTCGCTCCTTACGGGGCCTACTGGAGGAAGGCGCAAGCTGTGCACGATGGAGCTCCTCAGCACGCGCAAGGTGAAGCAGCTCGCGCCCATCAGGGACAGCGAGACCATGTCCCTCGTCAGGGAGATCCGCCGTTCATGCGGCTCCGGCGAGCCATTCAACCTCGGCAGCCTGCTGGTGTCGTGTTCTAACTCCATCACTGGCCTGGCGACCTTCGGCGATCGCTTCAGCAGCGAGCACAAGGAGAAATTCCTGTCAGTGATGGCCGTCGTACTGAGCGACTGCTCGGGTTTCTGCATCTCCGACCTCTTCCCGTCCATGTGGTTCTTGGACGTCGCCACAGGGATGCGACGCCGGCTGCAGATGGCGCATGAGCAGCTCGACCAGGTGTTGGGCCAGATCATTGAGGCATGCGAGGCGAGGCGGAAGGTAAAGAATGCTGAGAACGGAGATGACATTCTGAGCATCATGCTTAGAATCAAAGATGAAGAGGAGTTCGAGTTCCCGTTCAACATTACACACATCAAAGCAGTCATTATTGTAAGTGTTGTTGCTCCCTCTCTTCTCTTAATTTGATTTGAATGGAATCTTCTAATCATTCACTAGTGTTCGATCTCATTAACCGAGGAGCAGTAGCTAGTGTTCTCATATCTGTTCTTCCACTTCTTTCTTCCCTTCGACGTACATGCATGTATCCTCTTACTGCTTGTGCTCGATCGATCTAGGATTTATTCATAGGAGGCACCGAGACAACTTCATCTACGGCCGAGTGGGTCATGTCTGAACTCATGAGGAACCCGGAAGCAATGGCAAAGGCGCAAGCAGAGGTGCGGGAAGCACTCAACAACAAGAATCCAGGCGACCAGGAGTCGCTCCTGGGCCCCCTGAACTACACCGGCATGGTGATCAAGGAGACACTGAGGCTGCACCCAACCATACCGCTGCTGCTCCCCCGCCTCTGCCGCGAAACCTGCAACGTCGCTGGGTTCGAGGTGTCCAAAGGTACCAGAGTGATAATCAACGCGTGGGCTATGGCCAGAAGCCCCAAGCATTGGGATGACCCTGAGGAGTTCAAGCCTGAGAGGTTCCTAGCAACTGCAGCGGATTACAAGGGAACGCAGCTTGAGTACTTGCCATTCGGTTGTGGGAGGAGGATGTGTCCTGGCATGGGCTTCGGACTGGCGACCCTAGAGCTTATTGTGGTGCGGCTCCTGTACTACTTTGATTGGAGCCTTCCGGCTGGAATCCGGTCTGAGGAGCTTGACATGGACACCACAGTTGGAGCAACAGCAAGGAGAACAAACCAGCTGCGGCTTGTGGCAACGCCTTACGAGCATGCTATGGAAATTTGAATATTATTAAAATCCTTAAGGCCTTGTTTGGATGTTGTTGGATTTGCCTCAGTCCACATGTGTTGGAGTGGGTTGAGATGGAATTTAGTTCAAGTTCCACTCCAATCCACCCGAACACATGTGGATTGATGCGAACCGACTACATCCAAACAAGACCTAAACTGTATGTTTGTGTTATTGTAATTTTGGTTTATTTGAGCGATGGTGAAGTATTGATGCAGACATGCCTGTCGGAGTTTCATAATATTGTGTACTGTATACGTTCTTACTAGAATCTTATACCCTAATTATGAACAACAATTCTCGAATCTTTAAGAGGATATATTGCTGGTATGACACAACCTGCTTGCACCAATACAAGTCTTGGATGATCCTCCTATTTAGAAAGTCCTCTCCAAGGCCCTATACACGCAAGTAGGAGTCCTATTCTTGGTAGGAATTATGTAATCCAATTTTAATAGCATTATAAGTCATAATAGCACAACTCTCTTGTGTCCTAGTACAAGTAGGATTTGATTTGCCATAAAGCAATCCTGATAAACGATTTGTTCCCGATTTAAGACACCGAGCACTACAATAAAAATGATTTTTTAGGATTCACCATTTTATTTTTAGAGGCGGTTGAACACATCCTGGCACTTTTATGGAGTAAATATAGTTTTGGCGATTGATGAACTGTGTCACATCCCACAATTTTCATTTTGTGTTGTGAGTAGAAAACACTAAATAAACTAAATGACTTTATAATTCTCTAAGACATAATTAGCTAGGTTGTCGTTTACATTTAAACATTGCAAAATTTTATTTTCTCGAATATTTATAATTTAATTTGATATGTTTGTTGCATTCATGTCTTTGCATTGATTTTTATCAGGTGGAAAATGAATTTAGAAAATTCATTTAAGACTAAATAGATTTTTATTATTTCAAAAAGTAATAAAGTTTCAAAGTATATTTTCAAAACCAGTTTGAAATTGAATTTCAAAAATGCTGAAAAATATTGTTTAAATTATTTCCAAATTTTATTCCAAAGTTAATATTCAAATTTAGTTTACAAAATAAGCTTAATATCTATTTATTTTAAACCAAGTTTCTTCAAATAGTTTAAACAAAGTTTGGAAAAGCGACATGCAAATTTATAAAATGTTTAAAATTGTTCTAGGCCAAAATCACTTTTCTTTTCTCTCCCTTTTCTCTAATTTCATTTTCTGCCGACCACCCTCTTCCTCCTGGTCCATTTAGTTTCTACATTTTAATTTGTGTAGCATAGAAAACAATTGTTCATGAAAGATGCCAATTTTCGATGAACCCGTGTGGCACTGGTACTTTAATTTGAGGTTATTGGCTAGCAAGGATGATTCAACTTAAGGGTAGTATATTGACTTTCTATTAAATGGCTTGGCATGGCTTAGTTAGTTCATTTAGTTTTGCATTTTAATTAATGTAGCAGAGAATAAAATTGTTCATGAGGGCTACCAAAATTTGATGAACCACTTTAATTTGAGGCTATTAGCTAGTAAGCATTTAATTTCTAGATAGTATGGTTAATTCTCAAGTGATGTGGTTAATAAGTTTGGAACACAATTTATTGGTTGATTCTCTAGTATCACAATTTATGCATGCATAAGTTTGGAACTTTAACTAAGTCCAATGCCATACCTATTTTTTTTTGTTAATAGATAGATTGGAGATGGATGTAAGGTCCCGCCATTATGGACCTTCGATTTGTGATGGACCTATGCCCCATGTAATCCACTGAATGAAGGCTATATATGTTGCCCATGCAGGGATTGCATGAATCGTAGGCAATATTCTTATCCCAAGCAGATGCAATCTCTCACTTGATTACCCAGGGTTTCATGGAAGGCTATACGATATGGACTAAGCATGGGGAAGAGGGTGACAACATAGCGGATTACCAGGGTGGCGATGATGAGAGTATCCCTGACATAGGAGGTGTCAATAGGGTAGAGGTTGTTAATGAGGAAACAAGTGTCAAAAGGGAAGTGGTGGTTAACGATGTTTTTTGGAATATGTTAGCTGACAATACCATGGAAGATGCCATTTCTAAGATTTGCAAGGTGTGGAGGTAGGATTTCTTAGTCCAAACAGTCGAAAATGTTGGATAAAATGAGGAAGGATGTAAGATAGCGTTGTATATGGTTGCAAGGTGAGCAAATTGGAATATGACCTCTGGCTAATAGAGCTAATGAAATCTACTCATGGTTTGTTTGATAAGGGCTTTTGAGACTTGTTATGTGTACTCAAGAAACTGTTACTAAGCCTTAACGAGTTACCGAGAGACGACATACGAGGCGAAGAAAATGATCTGTCTGATTGACAACGAACTAAAAAATCCGTGCGTGTGCCAAAGATTGCATATTATACCATGGAAATACATTTAAAGACTTGCCCAAAGTGTGCGAAGCTCTATGGTACAAGCATGGCAAGACAGATGTTAGCAGTGGGACCAAAGGAGGCCCTAAAGGTCTCGTGGTATTTCCCTATATGTCTCACATGCAGAGGTTGTTGTTCCCAAATGTAGAGTTAGCAAAGCTATTATGTGCCATGCCAAATGGCGTGAGGAAAAGATGCAAACACATGGTTGATATGCGCCCATGTGTGAGTGACAAGTGATTGTCAAAGAGATAATCAGAGCTTTGGTTAATTGTGTGTGGAACTAACCAGGGCATGAGTAGTTGTGTATGCAACATGTTTCTTGTAATGTGATGTGTAGGTGTTGAACGTGTGTTGGTCAACGGTAATGGAGAAAGTCAACCAGGAGTCCGTGCGCTATAGACTGGAAACGGTGAAGGGCGGAGGCAGAGACTTAGACCAAGGGACCAGGGGCTGGAGGATGGATCGTGGACGGCAGGTTTGGTCTTCATTTGGGAGGTCCTCTTCTTAATTAGTCTTCCATCTACTCTCGGGCAAGTTTCAAAATGACTAGTCTTTAGCTTTGACTTTTTTTTTAGACTTTAGGGTGGGTTTTGGCACCGTGAATCATAGGTGAAACGTTTGTGCTTGAAAAAGTTCTGAGTGATTGTCACTTTTCTACCTACAAACATGAATTAGTGAAAACGTGATTTCACATGATTCGCCATCCGAAATGTTTCTTGAGAGAATCTGGATCTGAAACATTTCTACGAGAATCTATCTGTGATCTTCAGATCCATTCTTTTTCCTATTCAAAGATCAGGCCTTTGCCTCTATGGTTTCAAGTCGAGGATTCTTCGCAGATGAAGATGCATAGAAGGCAAAAAAGACTCCGAAACATATAGCTGGCAACTGGTTCTAATATAGTTGCCAGTCGTATATATATGTGGCATGCTTGTTAAGTTCACATAGATATAGACGGGAATGGACACTTTTTAAATGCACCGGCACATAGACGACATTTAAACTTGTGCAACTATACATGTATGTACCATAAAAACATTAGTTATGGGAAGTTGACGTTATTGTAATTGTGCAATACATAAAAATTAAAATGAAATACATCAATAGTAATGAAGCATCTAGGAAAATTAAAAGGAAAACCAAAAACAGTTAAGGGCAAATACAATCTTGTCTCATACCTAAACACGCGTTCAGAACAAAAACAATGCCGGTCCAAAACACGAAGATAAACCTAGCCGACAAAATGGCATGTGACATCCACACCGAACCTCTGTTGACACGTGTGCAGATTCAAATTTTCAAACCCATCTAGTCGGAAGTTTGAAATCGAAGTCATATTCACTACGCCAGCCAGCCATTTTAGGGGCGGCTCAAGATGTGCAGGGGTGGTTGGATGAGCCGCCCCTACCCACCATCTTTTGGGCGGTTGCCCAGCCGCCCTTACAAATCCGTTTTCGAGAATTATCAAATCTGGACCAAAAAGAATAGCAATTTTTTTTAAATCCCAGAAGGCCCCACAGGGCAGCCACAAATGATTTTTCGCGCGAAAAATGAGCGCTTCAGCTGTCGAGGTTCGAACCTACGAACTCCCGCATCACGCGGTACTTCACTAACCACTGCACCTCACACTCACTTGTGTCTATAGCAGATATTCTACTCATATTATACTCAACTAAATTAAAAATGAGTGTTTGGGAGTTTAAACGAATTCAAATGAAAATGTCGTCAACTACAAAGTTGTATAACTTTTCGGAATCTATAGCTTTGGTTTTGATCGTTTGCCCATCCGAGGTTATTTGAAAAATTCAAATTTTAAATGTTGGAAATTTAGCCATAATTATCCTTAGCTAGATGATTTTAAATGAAAACGTTGTCAACTATAAAGTTGTATAACTTTTCAAGGTTTACAACTTACGTTTTTTATGTTTCTCCATCTGAGGTAGTTTAAAAAATTCAAATTTCAAATGTGAGAAATTCAAACGTAATTTTTCTTGACAAGATGATTTCAAATAAAAAAAGTTGTCAACTAAAAAGTTACATAACTTTTCGAGATCTATAACTTTTGTTTTGGTCGTTTCTCCATCCGAGGATGTTTGAACAATTCAAATTTCAAATGCGAGAAATTCAAACATAGTTTTCCTTGACAAGATGATTTCAAATAAAAAGTTGTCAACTACAAAGTTATATAACTTTTCAAGAACTACAGCTTTTGTTTTGGTCATTTCTCCATCCGAAGATGTTTTGAACATATGATATTATCGTTGGTATGGTATTGATCAAGATTATGACTTGGAAAAGTGACATCGCCTGGGAAAGAAAAAGTCGTGTCGATGCCCTTAGCAAAGGAGAGATTAGCTAAGAAGTTTTGGACGATAACATGAACTTAGAATTGTGTTTGAAAATTGAGCAACTTAACCTGAGTATATATACTCATTAATGATTTAAAGTTGGTAACAGAACCTACTTCGGACCAAGAAAGTGAGAAGACTCCGTTGGAAGGTGAACATGTGAAGAAAGAGAATTGATAGTATGGACTAAAAAGGAAAGGTGGCATAGTAATTGAAGTTACATAGGCATGGTTTGGAGAATATGTCTGAATC